TATCTTTCCTCAATGCATGTCATATTGAATTACGACGTCGTGAGTAAACAATCGATGTATATAATACAGAATGGTCAGAATGTTTGTCTTTTAACTCCTAAACCCTTTGACCAATCTATTAAATTTTGCATAATAGTTACTCTCTAGACCCCTGCGAAAAATATGGTCTATCATGAAACCTGGATCCCCTACCTCTGATTTTATCCCCTTGATACTCTGTGATAATCCCGGCAACGCCAGGTAATTTAATTTTAATACTTAATAATACTCATATATTACGTATTACAAATAAAGTTTGTATACTTTTTGCGGGGAACCGCCACCATGGCCATCGCGATCGGACAGCTCGACGTCGGAGGCGATGATCGATTCCGGGATGCGGCCGTCCTGACGCGTTTCATCGGAGAACGGCGACGGACCCAGCAGGAGCAAACGTCCCTTGCTCTTCTTCTTCCCTTCCGGAAGCGGATCTGTGGTATCCGCGCGAGTGGCCGGTTGCCGGTGCCCGGCCACCTCCCTGTCGTCATCCTCGTTTCCGAACGTCAAAGTCGTTCGGCGACAAAGTCGTTTCACCGACCCGGTGCGAGGCGTCGTGGATTCCGCCGGAATCCCAGCTTTCTCGGCTTTTCGCCTCGTCCCACCGGACTCGCGTACCTTATCATAGCTCACCAGCTTTGGCGACGACGAAGGCGTGCAAGGTACGGACGACGTTGGCAGGGACAACGTCGAGACGGAGACGTAAGGGAGTCTTCTGTACCTATGTAATAAGCACTCGCCGCGGTCGACCACCTCCTCGCCGCGAGTATTCCTGTTCTTTCGCCGCAGATGCCCGAAAATCTTCCGGAACTCGCGCCAATTCGCCGTCAAACGTTCGCCGATCCTCTCGAGCACGACCTCGACTCTCTTATTGCCATTCGACGTTCCCTTATTCATTTTCTTATTCGGATTATCTCGCGGTCCGCCGATGGATCTATGGACCGGCGATCCGCTGAGCTCGCCTCGCTCGTCGTTCTCGGGTAAAATCATAAAATGCGGGACCTCCGAGAGTTCCTCAGGATCTCTTCCCAATTTGTTAACGACGACCGTCGGCGACTGCCTGGCCAGATAACTGTTCATCTGGTGCGCGAGATTATCGTTCATCGAAAGCGTCTTGTCCAACAAGTAACAATCGTCCATCGTTTCAATGATGTAATGGTCTTTTCGCTGATTCGATCTTACTCCGAGAGATTCCTCTTCGTCAAACTTCACGGGCCCCGGAATATTTGCGAAAGTGCGTACATCGTCGCGCGACTGGGATTTCAAGTCAGGGCGAGATATTACTGAGGTATTTCGATGGGTCATCTCGTCGACGATTTTCGAGGATCTTCCATCAGTTGTTCTGTTCGCATTGTTATTGTTATGCTCGTTGCTCAAGGACGATAAGCTGAGGAAATAACTTTCCGTGAGCTCGAACGGATCGTCGACGAGCGGTTTGATAGCATCGTCCCGCTTGCGTTCTCCGGAGTCCTCTAAATTACGAAAATTATTCATGTACTTGGTACCGTGCTCAAAATCGCACATTGCAAGATCCAACTCGCGGCTCTTGCTCGAGATCGGGCTAGGCTGTTGGATCATCCGCGCAGCGATCCCATCGTCGATTTTTGGATCGTCCTTGAAGCTCTTCGATCTTCTTCTAGGCTGCTTGGGAATGATCTCCGGGCTAAGCTTATTGCCGCATTGCAGGTCCGCGGGTTGCGATTCGAACAGTACCGATTCCGGAGAACGCGGATGCGACGAATCGCTCCTTTCTTTATTTTCATTTTTCGAATCTCGACCGGAGATCTTCCGAAGGGACTCCTGCACTTTCTGGAACTTGGTCTTTTTCCGCGATTGCTTGTGCTTGCGTCTCGCCATAAAATATATTTATGTATTAATCACTGTACGCTGAATACGATCGCCTTCCGATGAACTATAAATATCTAATTACTCTTTATTAAGTTACACATGATTTAATTAAAAGCGCGTCTATCACGTTACATTTTCGCTCGAATTGCGGAGACAGAAAGATCGTTGTTACCTACATGCCGGAGAGTTCGTTACTGCCTGTCTCAAGGTTGTCTACTTCGTATATTATTGTGGTTTGGTATTTACACATGTGTGTGATGATGATAACTTCCCGTCATGCGCGTGTAAATCTACCAATTAAATTCGTTACATCGCTAAGTTTATCTTCTTAGATAGTTTATCGTTTAAAATCGATCTAAAAGTAAATTTGTAAAATTTAATTGTTAAAAACCCAGTACACACAGACAAGTCAAATTTTAATTCGAAGAAAAATCGGACTTAAATTTAATTCACGAACAAATAAGAATCTCAAGATATATGTAGAAAGAAACGTTCTCTTACGTTTAGTTGAAAGAGCGTTTATTCAAATCTTTGCTACAAGAAATTGCTCAAACGGATATTTCAATTTTGTAAACGGACATTTTGTGTTGTCCTAATATTTTATTTCTTATTTTATACATTCTTTACATGTTATTTTATATCTTGTAGGTATAATCTTCCTCTGCAGTTTATATATTTTTCATCTATAATACATACTTCTTTTATAATACGTATATCATATCGTATCGTATCATATCGTATAGCTCGGTAATTTGATGGATAAACATTATTTATTAATCAAATTGACTTTCATACGGCTCAATCGACGCGGAATCGTTTGGTGGTTACGAATATAATCAGTAAAACGTTTGGTGGTCAACCGTTTTTCCAGAAAAAAGGAAAAACCGTATGCTCACGCCATTTGTCGTATGACTCTGTGCTATTAGTCAGAAAAATTGTATTTGTCACCCAAATTGACTTTGATAGGGCTCAATCGACGCGGAATCGTTTGGTGGTCACGAATATTGTCATTAAAACGTTTGGTGGTCAATCATTTTCCTAAGAAATAGAAAAAACCGTACTCTCACGCCATCGGTCGCATGACTCCGTGACGTTAGCTCGGTAATTTGATGGATATGTTCAGCATTATGCGCATACGATTTTTTTTATTTTCTGGGAAAACGGTTGACCACCAAACGTTTTACCGATAATATTCGTGACCACCAAACGATTCCGCGTCGAATGAGCTATAAAAAAATTAAATTGGTTGAAAAATAAAAATTGTCCGGCTAACTTCACACCGGAAATTTCATTTTTATTTTACAGGAAAACGACTAACCACCAAACGATCGGACTAGACTACCAAAGACCACCAAACGACCACCAATCGATTCCAATTAATGAAAGTTCGATACGTTGAAGTTGTCCGGCCAACTTCATAGAGGTTGATCGGCCGCGCCGGCGGCACGGAGCGGCGCATGACGTCACGGCCTACCCCTCCTGTGCTCATGCAGGGGCACCAACATCGATTACACTCGCGCCAAAAATACAATTTTGACGTTGACAAAGAATGTCACGTAGAAGAGATTATCTTTAAATCTTAAAATTCTTTCCTAAGTTTCTACTTTCAGAAATCTCTATAATGACATTAAATTGTATAATACGTATTTTATAATCATCAGGCAAGTATGTACACGTATAACAGCGTGATTATCTACTAGACAATAAGGTAGGCGATTAGTTTTATACAATTTACAAAAGCTTTATTTTGCTCAGGAAGATATGTACAAGTCTTTGGCAATTTGTATTCCTTAGGATTACTTATCCTTCAATTTTTGGCGACTCAGTTTGCTTCCCACTGTTCCATCATTGGTAGAACGTGCGTTCTCCCGCAGATACATGTGATAGTACAATATCCAACAATAAGTTACACCAATGGCACAATATACAGAGGTAAATGCTAATGGTAGGAATGGCAGTTTGTCGCCAAGTAACAATTTATGCAGCACCACTTCGTAGATTGTAACTAACGGTAGCGGTATTACGTACAGCCATTCGTGTAATCGTAACAGAGGCCCGCCGTGCTGATTAGTCAGGATTAAAATCGACGAAAGCATGTATGTCAGCAATAACACTAATTTCAGTGAAGACAAATTATCGGGATACAGCAGAGGTAAAAGAGCAGTCTGTCCAGCAGTGCTTAAAATAATGAATATGCGTGCGTCTTCTGCATATATCGTCGCGAGGACGCTAAAAATTATTATAAAATCATATTACTTTTAAGCTCCAAATAAATACGTGTTTCGTAAGATAATAAAACGTTCGTGTGTTTAGTACTCACCACAAAGGGATAATCGCGGTTAGTATGGCTTTCTCGTGCACATGCCAGCCAAACATGAATGAACTTAATGCACACAGTACGATGCACCTAACAAAATGTCTCGAGTTCATGTAGGACTTTTTACATAGCAGACACCATAATGCAGGCTAAAATATATTATATTAGTTATTTAATCCGTGTACATATATAAAGACTACAGTAATATAAACAGTAAAATATATTTGATACAAAATATAATTAAGTCACTTATGTGTTACATGAATAGACTTACGAGCATTGTTACGAAAGTCAGAATAAACGTAACGATAGGAGTTGGAGTGGGTAATATAAGAAAGTTTTCCTCTTGCACTAGGCCACCCGTCATTACTGCAGATTTAACATCCTCCAACCATCCTAAGCGTTTCCATATCACAGACAGCACTTTCTCTGCGCCGATATATAGAGCCCAACCATTTGCAGCCCAGTACGAATGTACTAGACCTCTTTTAAACGGAAATAAACGGGAAATTACCTGATAAAAAAAATGTTAAATTAAAAAGAAGAGAGAAAATGTAATTTGCAAGTTATATAAATATTACCTGCGATAGTTGAGTTCTGAATGGGCCAAAGGATACTGCTAGAACGGTCAAAACGATAAGTCCAAGACTAAATAACCGTTTAAAGAACTTTTTACTGTCCCAACAATATGATTTCAATAGCCAGACAGTGTATGCTGGTGCCACATATACATATAGATGTTTCAAGTTGAGTAAAACAGCAAACCACATAGCGCCTTGCAATACTGACACCTGAAAACAAGCCGCTTTTTACTACAAGTAAGTTTCAAAGTATATTACAGGAGTTACCTGCTTGCCAATCTTCGAGACGTTTGCCGTTGAGAGCAACAGAATGCCAAGTAGAAAACCATTGTACTGGAAATGTATATGATCAACTATCAGCAGTCCTATGTTGCATAATGATAAAAATATGAAAACTATGTGGCTGTTTAAAGATTTGCAAAATGTCCTACCCATTCTATAAAAAAAAAAAACACTTGGATTTAGATTTCATATTGCATAAAATTCTCTAAAATGTTTACTTCTTTTTCTACAAAGGTATGCTTTTTTCATGGAAGATTTATTTAATTATGTGAACCATAAATTTTGTAGATATACTTACTCTCTTACTCCATAAGCAAGTATCAGATCAGCGACTATAACGGTGCCTCTCTGGAAATATACCGTGGCTGATGAGGCATAATTCAAATTCTCCACTTTAAGCATCTCTGGATCGAAAAACGCAGCCGCTTGGCTAAGGCAGTACTCAAACCACGCAAACAGAGGTGGATAGTCAAGAGTCCAGGGAGATCGGGCGTTAACGTACCATTCTCTAACAGGTAAACTGTATGTGATGGCTAGCCAATTGCGGTGTACCTCAAAATCAGTGGAACGACTGCAAAAAAGAAATTCATAAAATAGATATAAATCTCCAATATAAGTAAACAATCTTGGCACAAACTTTAGCTAGCAAAGAGATTATTCAGAGAGCTCGCTTACTAAGTAGGAATTAGGAGGATCTTAATACAGGTGACCAAAAGGAAAGTCTTCAACAGTATACTATCCGCTCTCCAAAGAACGGAGGCTGAAGAGGAAGATTTTCCATCCCGGTACACTTGAGTTTCTGTCAAAATGTCTTTCCCGTCAACGGACATGTTAATCCAACTTGCACCTTGCTATTTATTAACGTCAACTATATCTCGATAAGCTTCGACGCATTCCGCAATTACGATAGCGGCCTCGGGGAACAGACATTCGGCGAAAATATCGCCGGCGCGATATCGCGTGCGATTGCGATGACGCGCAGTGAGGTTAGGACGCGCGTGGCGCACGACGATTTATAGGTTATGTTCGCCAGAGGGGCGGACTCGCGCTCGCGGACGGAGTTGCTGAGCTATGTTCGTTCCTGGATTGCCGCCGGCTCTACGGAGGGCCGTGAATCTCTCTCGGAGCTTAAGTCGGTGTCGCGTGGCACGTGACACTTGGAAGTCCGGTCAGTGTCGAGCGTTCAGCAGGAGGCTGCCGGGGGAGTTCCTCGGCAGCGACGGCACCAAGAAGCCGCGGCCGAAGACGGAGCCGGTGCCGAAGATCACGCTCGTGTCGCCGGACAACTCGATCACCGTGACCGTGCTGGAGGAGGCCCAGCGTCTGGCGAAACGGCGCGATCTCACCCTCGTCAAGGTGAACGATCTCGACGGTAAGACGCAGCGGGCGGTCTACAAGCTGGTGAGCAGTACCGGCATCCTCGAGAAGACCAAGACCGAGATCGAGGAGGAGACCAAGAGCGCCGACAGGACCGCGCAAAAATCGGGCAAGGGCGCTAAGCTGTTTTACATATCGGCGAAAATCACCGAACACGACCTACAGACGAAGACGAAGAATGCGGTGAAGTTATTGAGTAAGGGGCGCAAAGTTAAAATCGCCATCACCCTGGACGGCGCCAGCGGGGTGAGTTCTGTGATTCTTTCCTCTGTTTCTTGGAAGTAACTGAGAGGGATTCCCAGATAGAACATAAAACTCATGATGATTTTATCATGACTTTATTCATCACTTAAAAGTTACCTGAACCTGAACCCTGAACATGTCCAGACAACTTTTAAGTGATGAATAATTAAGTCATAATAGTTTCATGTTCTACCTGGGTTGTCAGATAAAAATGCACGGGGCATTCCATTACCTTAATTATGTACGTTGTGTAAATAATCTATGTAAAATGTAATTGTTTTAGGATATTTAAAGCCTGATATTCATAAAAGAAAACAATGCTGGGATGCCCCGTGAAAAACACAATTATTTAATCACATGCATGTTTTTTTCATTCAACATATAGGATAAGATACAAAAAGCCATAGAGGATGCTGTAAGAAACGATGGCAGTGTCCAACAAATGCCGTCAAAGAAGAACATTATTTTACTCTTAATAAATCCTTTACCTAAGAACGAGGATGTTTCTGTAGATAATAAAGACGAAACTAACAGCTCCAGTAGTTAATGAAAGAAATAACACATAAGATTTGTTGAATGTGATAAATATGGACAGATGATAATTTATCGTTAACATTGCGAGAGAAAATAAATTTTTTCTGCAACTAAAGTAATGCAATGATATGTATGCGCATTTATATATGTATATACATATTGTGTGAATATGTTTATAGTGATTATATTTATTTTGAATATATTATAACGGTTTTACAAAAGAATAACAGGTAAATAGCTTTTTTTTTTGTACCATACCTACAATTTCATTATTGTCAATGAAGAGAATTCCATGTTAATAAAACTTTCCGTTACGCGTCAAACAAACGGCTTACTGTCTACCGAACTACTGATATGTCTACGTCGCATTTTACAATTGTATTTTAAAATATCGTGGTTCTCAGTTTCCAACTGAAGTTGTTATACAAACTTTGGTCTTACAATGAGATCTGTAATGCGTGATAAATGCTACAAATATGACGACACGCGTATATACGTATAAATAAATGTTGTCGTTACGAGAGTGGTCTTCGTCGCGTTTTACTACTCGCGCTAGAAAGGAGCGACTTACTTAACATTAATATTATTACGTCGCAATATATTCTGATTTAAACTCCTTTGCTACCATTAGATAGATATCAAATGATTTGTCTTCACTCTTCACGAAAAACTATACAACTATTCGACATTATCGCCTATGACAATGGCAAAAATTCTAACATTCTCTCTTTTCTAAGCACAACTGACGCATTGGAATGCAAATCCATTTTGCCTTAACTTAATATGTTGAGAAAGAAACGTCGCGTGTTATAGCTTTAAGATAAATAAAGTCGTAATTCAGTATCGGCACGATGAGCGTCGCGAAACGACGCCTGGTGTGATTTTCTTGTGCGTAATAAATTACACTGGAGGACAGAGAATGGACACGAATATAGAGAGAAGCAATTCCAAAAATCTCTTTCTTATTATAGCCGTTTTAGAAGAACATGAACTTCTATTCTCTATAGAAAATAATCAGTGAATCGTGCAATGTTTCTTAAGTACTATAGTTAAGTGTTGGTTCTGTGTGTATATATCACAAGATAAAAATTGATTTTTATTTTTTTTCTCCTTATTGATTTCGATATTCAAAATCCAGAAAGGCTAATTCGCTATTTCTCACGTTTAATACATAAGTCATAAACGCAAACGAGATAATTACAAAATTGTATAATATAAACGTGTATTTTACTTAAAATCTAAAATATCATAAATTTTGTTAAGAGTCAAATTAATTACTTCGGTCTTTCAATCACTGATTCACTCTTTGATTTTTATCTCGTTAACTCTACCTTCGCTATTAAAACGGCCGTTCACGTTAAAAGAATTGCTGTCGTCCAGTGTTATTCTTAATCCTCCGATACCTCTGCTCCTCCTAAACGCTCCGAGATTTCGATCGCGCGACGTATCTAAGAGGAAATCGCTTAATCAGTCTAGTCATATAAATTCCAACGTTTGAAGCAGAACGCACCGCGTCGTGTAAATCGCTTTGGTGAGAGCGATGAAATTGCGAAAACGTTCCGCCTGTCTATTGCGGACAGTCCACCCTGCGACACTTCTTGATTTCCGCCAAGTTTGGACAGAGTTTGGCCCAGGCTCCCCTCGGCTTCACCGTCACCCTTCTGACCCTACTCCGCCATCCCTCGCCGCAGGTCGCGCTGCACTTCGACCACTTTGACCACGGTGTCACTTTGCAATCCACTGAAACTTTGCAAACGAGACTGTTAGACAAACAGAACTGACGATCGCTCCTGCTCAAATATTTTATCAGGCAAATATCAGGCTCCACCCTAGACGAGTCACGTATCCGACGAACTTGCTTTGTCGCGTTAACTCGATGGAGCTTGCGAATATATGTTCATCGAAACGCCAGTTTTGTTCGCTGTAGCAATTTTTCTCAGTTGCGGAGAAATTTAATATCAAAATTGTTAGATTGTTAGGCTTTTGTTTTATGTAAAGCGAAAGTGATGTAGTAAATGGGCCAACGACACGAGCTAAATAAAAATTTAATATCGTTTGCATCGAGTCCAAGTAGTTGAATGTATACCGCGTGTAAATGCAGTGTTCTTTTATATCAAGAAAATCATAAAAAGAAATCATAAGAAATATTCCGACAGTTTTCACGAATTTTAGTTATCTATTTGAATATTTTGAAACAACATAGGACTTACTCTCGTGCTCGGCATCGGTATTTTTGTCTCGATGAAATCGCCGACCTGTTCCATCAGCCTGTAGAGCTGCAAAATTTGGTTCTTATTATTCTCTAATCGTAAAATCAACCAAAAATCGAAACTTCCAAATTTAAAAACTATAGGTACGTTTCATGTAATAAAAAACTTTAAAAAATTTAGTAAAACAAATATATCAAGTTTTCATAATTGTTTCAATAATTAAATCGGTTTGTAATAATAGATTAGACAAGGTAAGTAATACTTACAACACGGTGGAAGCTTGCGGCACTTCTTTCTTCGGAGAATCTTTTTTGGACAGCTTTTACCTCCATTCTCGGCTGGAACCTGCTCGTAAGGAAATTAAATTTTAGATATACGTATCTAATCAAGAGAGTATACTTTACAATTTTTTATACCGTATAATGTATAATTTCTCCGATTGGAGGTTCTATGTCAATATTTAGGATTTGTTGAAACGTCGTTGGTTTTGTTTTGTATCATAAGCATCGAGAAATTTGAATAAGCACACGAATAAGTTTCTAACAATACCATAATTTGCCTGGTGCTCATTGTATATCCGCGACAGTTCTCACAACGGGACCATTTACTCCATTCGGAGACCTGGCAGTCCACTTTGCCATTCTCACTCGATTCCATTATCTGACTGCTCGCTTGAATGCCTTTAAAATTCTCCTTCTCTGCAAAGAGGCGCAAAATGATCTTCAGCGAAGCAGAAATTTCCGTGCATTGCATTTCTCGGCTAATGGTTTTTAAATTCACACTGTAAGAACAGATTGTATGTGTGTGTGTATATGTATCCGTGTGCATGTACGTATCTCTGTCATAAATATTGGTTTAATATAGATCAGAAATGTTGAGTAACTTTTGCATAAAGCTATTAATTATCACCGTGTTGCGCTCTCTTCGCTTTCGCGCTGCGTTGCTCCTGAACGGGAATATGATAGCTGAGGACGCTGCTAAGGGACACCTTCAAGTTTTTCATGATTGCCGACAGATTCGCCCTCAATTCTCCTTCGAATTCGTTAGTAAGCGTGTGCAAGGTATAACACAAACGATTATTCGTGGATAGACAGTTTACTCACAATGCGGAAGCTTTACGTGATGCATAATTAAAGATTTCAGACGGCGAAAAAGCGTATAGTTCTTGAAAGTCTTAAAGAAATAAAACAAATTTGAATAAAAATCAATGTTCTACTATAATCATCTATGATGTATTCAGATATCAGTATATCAGTATATTTTTAGTATACTTTCTAATATGCTAAAAATACTAACAAATAAGATCAATGTTTTAAGCTTAATTCGCGACAACAGTAATTAACGTATTGTATATACAAGACATACATTGTATATACTGGACATACATTCGGTATTATGGTAAATCTGACTGCGGGAGTTGCTATCGCAGGTATAGGGATTAGCATGAAAATTTGATTAGCGCACGTGCGGCGGAGATTCCGCAATTAACAACATTATCATCATGCGCCGTTATTAAATGGTGAATATGGCGTGTAGTAATCGGATTAACTTACTTTGGAAATTACCGCAGACTTTGTAACAATCCTGTTCGGTTGGAAAATTGTTTCGATTGCCGTCGCATCCGGTGTATGTAAAGAAAAGACAGCGGCCGGTCTGTTTGTCGAAGTAGGTTCGTGACAAGTTCCCATTACATGTTCCCGCTTTCAAGGGCTCGCTACAGATCTCTAATTACAAATATCTAATTAGTGGTGATGTTTCGCTGTTACAGTTACGGAGATAATGATAAGAGGCGCGCAGTGATAACGCTCGAAGATGAAATGTGTGACGTAAAGTAACGACCATGATTGTCTCGATTCTCTGGTAGAAACTTTCCTAGCGAAAATATATGACGATATAACGAAAATACATCTATGCATTATTTGTTATTTAAAATAAAAATCAAATGTTATTAGAACTTTACGGACCGCCGCGCGATTTTTTTTACTCCTGAGTTGTACTGTCAAAAGTAATTCAGAAAGAAGTTGAGCGTTAATATTCTACGTACTTTCTGCCTCCTCCCTCGTAAAACTGCAGCTCGAAATTTCGGATGTGCATGACGCATACTGTTCCCTGCACTTCACGTCGTCCTTATCCATGTTCTCTTTTTTCAATAAAAGTCTGGATCTCGTTTTAACGCCGGGCCCGCAGCTAGCACTGCACGGCGACCACATTGACCATTCGGTGTAGCGATCAGCTGGACACGTCTGCGGCCCAGAATAAAAAATCGTTTAATATAAAAAAGGGCAACCTATTGAGAAAATTGTAGAAGCAAAACTCTCCTTCTCTATTACATTTGCGTTAAACTCGAAAAATCTTCCAAACGCGTATTGCTATGGATTGCGTAGACTTCTTTTTACTTCGAGAGTTACTTAATCACGCGCTATTGCCTGACGTACAAGAAAGTACAGCAAAAGAAGTTTGCACTTTCAAATGAGTATCGAAAAAATATTATAGAGAGAACATGAGTTTTGCTTTTATATTCTTTATTCGTGCGTTAAACGTGATTTTTCAATTTATCGTAGAGATTTATTTATTTTGGCATTTAGTAGCATTTAATCGTTACATACTTCATACGATGATTACGCATGTGAAATATATATTATAAGCATAAATGTACGATTGATGATTACGGTTAATAATGATTATTTTTAAATAAAAATTCTGTATTGATTCGTTACAGTTGTGATATCACAAGACCGCAATACCGCATAAATAGATTTTCGTCATATGTAAATTAATTTTTTTCTCTTTAGTTTCCAAGTTTTAAAAATATGTTCCTGATATATTGATAATATCTGCAAAACTGGCAAAGTTACAAGCATTTGAAAATCCTGTGAGGATACTGTTTAATGTGATCAAGAAAAGATTAAACGATTCTAAAATATGTATTCTGAAATATTCTTCAAATCTAACATAATAGAGACAGTTTTAGCTACTAAAAGGCGATTCTGTTTTTTTAATCGTAAGTAAAACCTGTTTTTTTATCGTTCTAAACAAGAAAAATTCTTTTAATTATACACAGATTTAGAGTGTTTTTTTTCTTCTCTCGGTGATAAGAATAAATTTCTTGAAAATGAAAACAAGCAGCTATATCTTTAATCGCAAAGCTGTCGTTATGCAGCAAGGGAGTTTAAAAGCACTCGGAAATGAGTCTAGTCTGAAGTAATATTTAAAGAAAAAGAAGAAATTAATTCGCCGGTACTTGAACTCTTCAATGTGCTTTTGATGTCCGGAGCGCTTTACGTGCTCCCGTACCACTTCTTGCGTGCTCTAATGACATTCTATAAAAAGGAATATGATTAAATTTTTCATAGACCGCGAGGTGCTAGATTTCCCTTGCTGATATCGCGTGACTTACGTGAGAGTGCCGGTGCCATGGATGGATCTATGAGAAATGGTACAGGTATCGATTACTCGTGCGAAGCTATCGCCACTGGCTGCCTGATGATTTAATACTTAGCAAAGCTGCTGGATTGTTGTAATAAATATCGAGCGGATCGTTCATCCCTCATTTCATATAGAGATACGAAATCACGAAATCCGCTTAATATTTATTCGATAAAGTACGTGAATAGTTAATTTTACCCGAGCGAACTTTTCGACGAACTTGTTTCTTCGAAGTATCAAATTTGACAGAATGTGTTTTACAAAAAGTTCCAATCGAATTAAATGCAGTTTAGAAATTAGATTCTCCGACTTTAAAGAAATAAATGGAGAAGCTCGCGTGTAAATCTAAGGAGAATTGTTTTAATAAACTGAAACAAAAATGTTTGACACTTTTTAATTAATTTAAAGCAAATTAAGCAGATTAAAAATGCTTTGCATATTAATCCACGAAGACATAAATAAACAGAAGAATTTCTTATTTCAATTAATTTTTTATCCCAATAAAAATTTAACACAGAGCTTAAGAATATTTAATATTGAGAATTGGAAAACATTAATGAATGCTGGTATAATGCTGATATTCGACAAAGCTTTCGCTGAAGAAAAATTAGCATCGTATTTGTCACAGAGTTCGAATACCGTTTTTTTTTTTAATCTTTTCTGTTACGTAACGCTTAGCGATCATAGTAAACTTTATTAATTGTGACTTAATAAAATTTCGTACTTCGCGAATCAACTTCGTCGGAAATTTCGTTCCCATCTGACCATTTAGTCCCGATATGCCTGAACTTTTTCATACCTGGAGCCATTCATCTCCGGGCCAGTCCGCTATCTCACCAGTATAATCCTCGTGCTGGTGATCGTTGTCCGAATGATTCAATCTTACCTCGTCCGTGTCCTCGCCCTCGCAAGGCTTATTCCCGCAATCGATCGACTGCTCGAGTACCGGCCCGCTCGGCACGAGTCTGCACTGTTTCCGAAACCTCTTCGATCTGAAGTTCCTGGATCGGGTCAGGCTGCCCTCGCCGCATTTCGATGAGCACGAACTCCACGAGCTCCATTCGGTTAACTTGCATCTATCGCTCTTCAAGAGTCCGTCGTGATGACCATTATTATTGCTGCCGAATTGTAAGTACAATTATTTCGCAACGATCATGTAAATGAATCGTTATAGGTATTAGAGGCACACAATTTAAATAGATTTTTTGTAATTATACAGTTCGTAACATGAAAGTACGCGAATAATAGCCCTCACGCTCTTATATAATAGGTTCCGACTTTTCCTCTTGGGACACCTTGTATAGTCTAAGATATTTTCTCTCTCGAAAGTATAAGAAACTAATTAGAAAAATTAATAAGAAGTAGAGTTTTACGGAGCTTACTATCCACGGAAGATTTTTCAGTGAAAGAAGAATTTTAAGAAACTTTACAAATTAGTTCTTAGTCGCAGAGATTGTGAAGAGGCATATATTACCAATAGGAATTTTGTGTATTGTAGCAGGGTCTTCGACTCGTGAGAGGCGTGCCGCATCTGTTCGCGGTTGCCGCAGTTTCGTTCAGAAAATGACGTTGTCTCAGCTGAATGCCTCTGCCGCAGGTGACCGAACATGCGTTCCATTTTTCCCAAGACGAAACTTTACAAGCTTCTACATATAAAAAGAACATTGATTATTTTTTAGATGTCTCACACAAAAACCACGCGTATCTGAATTCCGTATTAATGCACTTGGAACAAGAATCAGGTGCATCATAACTAGTGATAACGTAACTTATCTACATACAGCAGATTTATCATGCACTGCCTGTCTATAGAATGAAAAGCAAGTAATACGTCGTAAAGCGAAAAATATGTAGTTAGACGAATTACGCTGAGCAAAAGCAAATTGTTCCTCACCCGGACTTATACCGTTTTTAAACAGTTCTCGCATGAACAATTTAGGGAATAATTATGCAGATTCTGCACGCGACGTGGAGATTCATGATTAACGTTACTTTAATCGTTCAACTTCGCGGAAACTCGTTCACAAGTTTTAATGTTTCAAAACTGACACTTAATTCTGTTTTTTTTTCTCCTTCTCAGGTAAAATGTAAATTTTTTACATCGCCGAGAGAACCAAGGATCGGACGTTAATGCGCTGCTTTAAAATTCCCGTGTGATACAATTAACTGTTGTAAATTCATCACGAACACGTTTCTTCTTTCTATTTCTTTTACCCGTATCCACCGCACCTGTATTATTCTTCGTATCGGCGTCATCGCAGGTCTTCTCGTACAACCGCTGTCTGTTGAGGGAGAGCTTCGCGAGGGGTTTCATGTCCAGACCAGACGGATCGTAAAAAGGCGACCTCGAGTCGTTCGGGTATGTCGATGTGATACGTCGAATCGGCTCCTGTGGCTCCGTCGGCGAATCGGGTGACTAGTAATTAATACAAAAGTAATAAATATCGCTTAACGAAATAATTATGAATGTTTGCTATAAGATATCTCTCTCGTATAAATTTCTCAAATTATTCGCTGAATGATCTTCCGCAGATTTTATTTCTCTTAAAATTTTTTTTAGCGTCCAATTTTATTATTTCATTGTCGATTTATTAATTCTTGTGTCCCCCGTCTTTGCAAGGCGAATACGCAGCAACAACAGCGCAACAATAATAAAAAAATAGATAAACCGTTACGAGTTACAAATTAAAAAATTCTCGCGATTAATACGCTCGATTTTTTCTAAGAAAAATAATGGAAGATAGAAAAAGAGAAGGAAGTTCTTCTTATTCATCGGAAAAATGCCGAGAGAGCAACGATGTCAGCAATTCTTGTTGCGTACAACGGAGGTAGCTATTGTGAACTGATAGAATTAGGTATTCTCTCTCTGAAGAGTTATTGTACGATCTCTCAATGCCGACAGATGACGAGTATCTCTTTTTTTTTCGTAACTCTCCATCCTTTCAATGAAGTACAAATCAATTGCGCTATCTTGATGCGTGCTCTTCGGGAGTTTCAAATATTCTTTCGTACAAATCGATTCTTTTCTTTAAAAAAACCGCTAAAGCACCCGATCTTAAATTATAAGCAATTAACTGCAAATAAAAATTGATATATTTGTTCACTTACCACGTATGTAATGCCGTCGTCTGTGCCAGCATCGTACGGGTAGAGATTTAATTCCTTGTGCTCTATCCAACTGCAATTAGGTAAACAAAGCTCGAGACCGGAAACGCCTACGAACCAATCCGGCGAAGGATCTACGGAAAAAAATTTTTTTAAATCGGTAAGCGAAAAATTATTACTCAATTTGACACGAACTTAATAGTCCTTTTAACATAAAATTAGCCTTACCAATCATAGATACCAAGCTCATCAAATGATGCTTTCTATCCACCCGAAATACAGCAAAGGTTTTGCCAGTTACATTCGGATAACTGATGCCTCTTGCCTTTATTATAGTTCTGATGTATTCGCTCTGATTTTTTAACTCGGATTCCAACTTCCGCGTCGCACCAAGCTCAGCTACCTGTCGCAGTCCGTCGGTAGCGTGGCCGTTGTAATCCCAGAAACGATACTGGCCCGTATGCGATGCGCCAATTACGTCCGAAAATCTGATCATCCATCCCTTGCTTGGAAAATCCTGTAGAGAGGCAGAATAATGAATGAACGACGACAAATCTGGGTAGGAGCGTCAATTGTTTGAAGTCTTCTCACAAATGATTTAATCGCGATTCCAAATATGTCAGATATATGAAAAGGATGCTACAAGGGTTCTATTTTTTCAAGTATTTAGGCTCGAACAATATATATAAATCTTTCTTTAATTGTTTGGGAAATCAGGCCTTAGCAGCTGGTACAAGTTAACACGTTGCGACTTGTAAGACAGAAATTTGTAAATACGTTACAATTTTCGCCTGTCGCCGACACTTGTTCACGTACTTTTGGATGCGTGTTCCTTGACCACAGGCCTTCGAACGTGACTTCAAATTTTGCCTCATCGCAGGCACAACACTCAGAAAGGACTGGGCCTTGATCGTCGGCTTCCGCTTTTGAGTCTTGGCACATGGTAAGAATCAAATTTTCGTCGTCCATATACCACGTGTCTATCGACTCGAATACTGTTGCTCTGCGAAAAAAAAGACAAGAAAACGAAAATGTAATTGACTGCATGGATATCATACCGAGAATGCATTGTATAAATAAGGCTGCTAGATCAACAAAGTAAAATAAGACAAAATAGATATTCTTTCGGAGTAACTCAAATAAATCGATAAAATTCCATATAATCACGTAATACATGACTGTGTATTAAATATTATATGCATGTAATATATGAATAGCGCGATATTGTAAAATATATATTTCGTAATATCTACATGCATTTAAATATTATATTGGCGCACCTGCAACGAGAGATACATTATTTGTATTTAATTCTGTTTTAAAAATAAATAAAATAAGAGCAATAAATACCGTTTTTCCGCCCCTTTAAACGATGTCGATGACGGTTTTGAGTGAAATCCTTTAACACAAATACTGTATGCGTAGCGAAATGTTATAACGCTGCGAAATTTTACGCGTTTATAAATAATGTATGATGTTATAGGTGCAAATATATATTTTATACATGTTTAACCATATATATATACGAACATGTTTAAATAGTAGACAGTTACGAAGCAGCGTGCTTATCGTAAAAGTTACCTCATTACTATTTAATTTCTTTTAAATGTCGCAAAATAAATATGCTTTTATTTTTCTGCAGGTTTATAAAAGCATAATTTTATACGCGTACTAATAGCACGATAATACTGTCATTTAAATTTAAATTTAAATTACAACAAAAGTTGCGTCGGTATCATGTAATTTATTTAAACTGTTATCCTGCGAATGTCGCGAAATAGATGTCATTTTAATTAAATTAATAAGAGTATCCCTACCTTAAGAGGATGCAACCGCTACCTTCAGCAGGACTGTTCCAAACAATGGATATGGATTCTTTTTGCATCTTGGATGTCTCCACGACGGCGTTCGCGCAATTATCCGCGAATTTGGTCATCGCGTCATCCTGAAGATCGAAAACGCCGACATCGGCCGTCTCGTTTGCGTTTTCGGCCTCGGCAGATATGAGGAATCTCGTGAACTTTCGGTGCATTTGCTCGGTACTGTCGGCTTTCAGGACCACTGAAATAATCGGCGATCTTTATTTGGTATGTCCGGATTGTATTTCGTTCTAAAGAATGACCGCAAGATGTTTTGTATGGATGAATGTGATGCAATTTTGCCTATAAACGAATAATGCTTCATTGCGTATTTATTCGTAATAATATATACATATAGATATGTTGGAAAAGATTATATTTGATAATATGACATGGACTTTAATAAAATGCTTTTACATGTAACGATATAAAACATAATAAAACATCAAAATAAATTTAATAAAAATTGCGATACATTATGTATTAATACCATATCTTTTTGCACAATATACTATTTTAACGTATGTAATTGATGCCTTTTATATTTTTTCTTTCTGAATACGTAATTTTGTCAAATTTCTTAACGCTTAAAAAATTATTAAATTTATTGATAATCGAGAAAAATGTGAGAAAAACGAATAATAGCAGATTATCGGTCTTTTAAATAAGTTTCCTTTAGAACTTCTATCTTATATATACGTTATGTACATAATACACACAAACAAAGAAACACACACATTTATTGATAGACAAACAGAAATTGTCTGTCAGACAATTCCGCTCTGTTTTACTTTTCTCCATTAGTCACTTAGAAACACAGTAGCTTAGACGAATTTCGCGGAAGGATATATCCTTACAAGTGACAATTTTTACAAAAGTCCAGTCTCACAGGTACGTATACAACATAGCAATAAATAATGCTTCCGCTACTGATGTTCTGGAACATATGTATTTGTATTTTATGCACCTCCAGACACGGAAAATGTAAATTTATTCGATTATTTATTCCCATTTATTCTCTTTCGCGTTCTGCCTCGTCCGTCATAATCGCCGTTGAAAACAATGATTTTGTACGCGCAACATTGGTACGCAGTAGATATGCGGCATTCGCCGTTACTTTTGCAACTCACACATATTTTATCTTACTTTGAAGCGCAGAAAATCAGCAATCACGCGTACGCATCGGACTTAGAGTTGACGCAGCGTTAAAAGAGAGATATTCGGAGAAATAGAAGATTCACATCAGGGTGAATAATCCGAGGAGGTTGAGTTGCTGTGCGTAATAGAGTGATCATATAGTGACCTTAGAGCATATACACGTTGGCGTTTAATCAGCTAGTTAATATGAAACGTTGGCATTCATATAAGCGTTGGATTGACACGGTGAGGCCATTGCAACCGCCTGTATACCGAGATGTAACTGGGAAGATGGCCGATATTGTTGTATTAAATTACATAAAAGACATGTTTGAAATGTACACACACGTTCCTGAGAGCGTTTTTCTCAATGAATTTGCCGCGCTTGACACGGTACCTAACACACTGAATCCAAAATATATTATACTGAAGATGTTGCAAAGGTATTTCTCCAACGTAGTTCGTGTTTACATGGAACCTGATTTCAGCCAGACAATTATTTTCACGTTTAGCACGTACTTAGGCGACAAACGTACATTACTCTTCTCTAACTGTATGAAATTTAACGAAGATATTAGTATTATATGCTTTTTGTTTCATATCAGTCTATTTAATTCTATACCGAATTTGAGATATAATTTTGAAACGAGCGAGACAGTGCGGATCTTGACGAGACTAATGAGAAATAAGTACGGGATAGATTTTGATCACGAATCTCTACCACCTGAAAATAAGTTTACAATGTTTACTATAGCACAATGTTTTCCGAGTATAACGTATGACATGATTCATAATAATTCTAAGCCAATTGGTCTTAATATACAATTTGCTGATCTTTCGACATTATTTCCTGATTTTGATCTCCCTAAAACGATCTTTCTGCCCCGGATTATAATGGTTCTTCCTAAGTTAGAAGATCCACCCATTGCGATACTCCTTGCTATATCTATCAAATTAGATGAGTTACGTGCGCCCGCAATGACTCCGAAATGTCCATTAGATTCAATCTATATCCAGATTCTTGAAGTTTATAATCATCCGATAGTTCCTGAATGCTTGAAATTGGAACTATGCACAAAATGGAACATTGTGGAAAAACAAAATAATGTATATAAATTCGCTTCTTGTTTTGCAACACATCGTCTAAAAGCTAAACATTTAATATCAGAACTAAGGGCAGAAGATCCAAAATTAAACAATATATTATCCAAAATATAACACATTGCACACATATACACATATGTGTGTGTATACCTACATATGCGCGCTCAATTTCTCCTTCATTATCGTCGTAGACATAAGTACTTATGTCTTTTATCGTCAAACATTTGCGAACATAATTAATTAACAATGCGTCTCTTTTATTAGATTGTATTATCGCTCAGTTATTTTTGTATTGCCCAAAACAAACGGTTAAATTCCGATTAAATTCTAAATTTATATATATACATAAATAAAAAGTATTTTTTTCCGTTTTTTTAGGGCACTATATATTTTAACATTGTAGATCAATATGTCTTCATGAGAAAGTAATTTGCTTCAAGTTGATTAAATATGCAGATGTTATTTGGAAAGATAACTTTAGACAATCAGTACTCATTTTTAGTTAAGAGGTAATATCTATGTATTTGCATATTGTAATTGTATTACAGTATGCAGATTGTATTAAATAGTATCTCGTATATATCTGAAGATGTTTCTTTTTTACATCATGTTAAATGGAATGGCAGTCATATATGTAATTAGGAAATTCTAAGACAAATATTGTGTCTTTTATCATTAGATATATGATTGTAATATAATCAACTTGGAGGGTATAAAATTATAAAATTGTAAATTTTTTCTTTTGTTTTACAATTCGTTGATAAACTTCGTTTTTCGGTACCATATAGGTATATTATATTTAAATATAAGTATAATTATTAAAATCGAAGAATTAAAATCAAAGATAAAAATATAATACAAGAAAAATATTTTTATCTTTGATTCTTTGATTTTAATTTGCGTTATAATTTTATATTGCGTAATTAATTTGCGTTATATTAAGGACTAAAATGATAAAACTGTCCACAGACATAGGTACGTGTCCAGGCATTGGTACATTTACTTTATCTATGTATTATATTAAATCTTGTTCTGCACGTGGCAGCAGAAAGGTTGAAATACTCTTTCCTATAAGTTTCGAAATACACATATAAAGCATGGGTCATTGTCCATAAATTACATATTAAATAATTACAAACTGTCGAAATTATATACACAAATTGTCGAAATTAAGCAATGTACAGTATGCATTAGATAATTAGTATAATTATATATTTGAAGAAATAATTAATTAACTAATTATTACATTTATTATTACTATTATACATTTTACATTATTACATTAATTATTACTGTACATTGTAGATGTACTGTGTAATAAGAGTATTTTAACATTAACAATAAAAAGCAATGCCGCTTGTCGCTAGGTATATCTTTTTTAACAGATATTTTTGTATTTCTTGTATAAAATATCTTATATGATAAGTATATTATTTGTTTCAAGCAATACACAAATATTATTTACAAAGGATTTGTAATCGGTAACGTATATTGTAATCATTTTAGACTGAAGAGTAATGTCCGTGTTATTACTTTTCTATCAGTAAACTATCAGTGAATCCGGATTATCGGAATCACATCGGATTTCTTTTATGTATAAGTGTAAAATACATGAAGTTATGTTGTATGTATGCAATATACATGAATATATTAGTTTTCGTTATTAGTATTATGTATGCATTTTATAATGTTACCAAATCTAAAGGTTCAAAATGTATAGCAAGAATAAAAAAATTAAAAAGACTTTTACACAGCAAATTTTTTCACGTGTGATAAATTTATTCTACAGTATGCACCAGTTGATTAATATATGCATATAGGTGTATAGGTGTATTGAAGAAATAATTAATCACAATTTTTAAGATATAAATTAGAAACATTATTATATGTTTTACGTCAATATACTTTAGCGCAGTTTGTATTGTTACTTTTGCGCAGTTTATAACAACAATATTTTACATTACCGCTATAATTATAACATCTTGGCCCTCTTAATAATATTTTATTAATGTTTTATTCACATGGTTGAAGTTTGGAGCGATCTTGGAGCGAAAATTAAAAACAATTTAAAGTAAAGTGAGTTACTGCCGCAAATTATTATCGTCATAATTTCCAGTGTAATTAATCGCATTCTATAAAAATCTCAAAGAAGGGCATTTAGAAACTTTCGTTTTGTTCGCGTATAGTTCGTAATTGATTGCGACCGAAAACAAAATTCTGCATCTCCTCCTCCGGCAGGAAAAATTTAAACGACCGAGGGAAAACTTTTAGACGAAGGTATGAAAAACAATAAAGTTCAATGGAGGAAGCGTAGCGTTCAGTTTCTCGATGCACATCGGAATATTGATTTTATTCTGGAAAACACGTAGAATAGTGCACATTACGGAAGAAAAGTCGATGTGCTAAACTCATCAGTATCTTCCAGAACTTATCGATTCATCTTTCGACTGCCAGTTCCTTCTCTGCAATTCCTTTTTCTTTTTTTTTTTTTTTCAAACAAGACACTAACAAGTACCGTAGTTATTAAGTATAATACAGTATTATTGAGTATAATATTTATTATTGGAAATGCCAAAAAAGATATTGGGCAAGCATGAATATCGACTTATAGATTTTCCATGTGTCGAAGGAATATTCGCGTTCTCGGAATAGAAGCATATATCCAGCCCGGGTACGGGCCCGCTATTTATAGCAGGGATTAAACACGACACACTGTGAAACTGCGTTCAAGGGGATTCATTCTATATTACGAAATATTCTTTAACACATGTAAGCGTGTTACATTTTGCGCTTATTTAAACGATTTAGATTTCAATAAATTATCCGTAGATTTGTATAATTTTAATAAAACAATTTTTTTTCTTTTTTATTAAGTATTTGATTTGATTAAATTGTTTTAGCATCTCAACGTGTCACGTACCTACGTATCCGTACGTTAATAACAATAATTACATATACTGA